CTGTGCCTGGTCATTTTTCGGGATACATCTGTTTCAGCAAACAACAACATTAAATACTCAAAAATACACGTGAACATTTTAGACAAAACATACACAGTTTAATATTTAACCAGCTCCCGCTGGATTACCCAAAAGAAACATTGTTTGTTGACAAAAGAAAATATGAGGAATTTTTAATTGAATGATTGGATGTTTGAATATTCAGGATGATTGAACTAAAACCAAGCGGTGTAGCCTTTTAAAACATACGGTACCAACTATTGTAATAAATCCTATATAAAAACCTATGCTGAAGACAATTGTTCCCTTTTATTTTGTTCAGCATTTGCCACAATCGTATCATATAACCACGCAATCGAACCGATAAAATTAGAAGGGAAAACAGAATGACATTAAAATAAAGTAAAGACAACGAATCAACAATAAAAATCTCCAGATCCCATGTTAAGTGACACGTCAAGTTTCTCTTTACCGTCCCAATAATATGCCTACAAGATTATTTTGATTGATTTTATTTTGGTAAGATTTATATCCGCTTAATTCAAATATGTCTTTGTGTATAAAAACAAACACATTAATGATCAGTTGGGCCCACAATACATTGATTGATTAATTAATTTTATCAAAGCTGTATCGTGATTTGTATAGGCCTTGGCCTGTTTACTTTAATTAAATTGAATGCAGGATTGCGAATTTAAATTAGGCTATGACAAATGAAAAAGAATGTTCAATTCAGCGCGTGCTACAATAACAAAAAAGTCTGCGAATTGGATTGCACATTTGTCATAATCGGCATCTCATCCGTGTAACCGAAAGTCTTATCACGTGTTTGTAATTCTTTAAATTAAACGTTATGCACATTAATTTATTGGAATGATGCAAAATGAAATTGAATTATTGCAAAAATATAACCAGGACATAAGTTTCTCAAAATCAGCGCCAAATTGAATTTAAATGCACATTTTCCAAAATTGTCCGAAAAACAAATATTTTACTAAATGCTATAATACGGCGACAGATTTTGCTGACTCCGTCCACAATAGGGCGACATACCTTATTAAGGCGACAAATAACTGTTGCCCTTTGTGAAAACGTCTCTTAGGACAAGGAATTTTGTCGTCGCAAACTATCTAGATCGATTCCTTGTGGTCTCATTAGTAAACATACCGAATTTCGATAAAATATATAAAAAGGATAAGGTAAACTTGGGTTAGGTGACAGTTTAGGTTTGTGCACAAGTCTATGGGAAAGTCGCCCTATTGTAGAAAAAAGAGTTATTATAAATATGGATTGATTACAAAGTGCACAATTATGTCCCAATGCCACTCCACTAGTAGCGAAACGTCTGTTTGTCCGATGCAAAACGGTTTTCAAACCGTTGATGTTCAATTACGAAATCAGTATTCATCATTTGGTAACTTTGTGAATCCTTTTTGACACTCATTATACTAGTTAAGTTTTAATGGCAAAAGGGAACGAACTAATTATTTTGCGGGAACAAATGAATTATTTCGAATGAACGATATAATATTTCGAAGTAACGAAATGATTTCGAGGGATCGAAATATTTTTCGAGGGAAACAAATATTATTTCGAGGGAACGAAATATATTTCGAGGGAACGAAATAATGTTTCGAGGGAACGAAATTATTTTGAGGTAGCGAAGTAATTTTTCGAGGGAACGAAAGAATATTTCGAAGGAACGAAAGAATATTTCGAGGGACAAAAATTTAAAAAAACGTCATCATGCCTGTCCATTTAGGGGCTCCGTACTTTAGGAGCTCCGTAAGTTTGCGCTTGTAAGTTAACCCTACAAAAGGGCCGGGTTATTTTGACTATATCTCAGCTGGGGGGGGGGGGGATTCCGCCCCCCCCCCTCCGCCCAAAGATCTCGGCCATCGAGTGACAAAAACTTGTAAAACTCGGTTCATGCATAGAGCAACTCATTATAAACATACACAAGAAATGTCATGACTATAGGTCTAAAGGTATTGGAATTATGGCTAATTAATTATTCATTATTAATTATGTACGAATGGTAATTGTGCTCTGTGTACACGACGTATATGGGCCAGTTCGGTTTGCACGCCGCAACCCGTGGTCTGATATTTATGATTTTGGTATCAAAATATGTGCTAAGCTCGAGGCTAAAAAGTGAAGAAAAAAAAAACAGCTCAGGTCGCGAAAAAAAAAATTACGGCTATCGCGGCAAAAAAGATAATCCTAGGTAGTTTGATTATAACCATTTGATCACCATTGATTGTTTTCACGAATAAAAACCGTTGGAAAAAAATCAAAAAATAAGAAGTCTTTAAAAAACAAATATCATTGAAACCCCCGCCCCTTTTTGTTTCCCGTGGAGAAAAAAGTGCGACAAATATAATTCATTCAAATTCCATGCATTATTATTCTTATGGTAATTGTGAATTAGACTGGAATATTGCAGTAAACATTGCTATTTTCGTGATTGTTTGAGTGTTTTTTTAAGAAAAACTCTCAGCTTTAATCTGGCACCGGAAACATTAAAAACCACGGATCTTTTTTTTTCAAAGGGTTGCATTTTTTGGGTCACCCCGTACAGTTCACCGAGAGCTTGTTTCCCTTTAAAACTATAATCACACGTCCGACATTTTGTTTTACCTGTTTCATTTTTTTTTCGAGAGGAGATCCGACGACTCTTTGTTGATATCAGACGACTGTTTATTGTACGCTGAATACATACATAAAACAGTAACCGTGTTACTCGGGGTACGGAAATCACTCCGTGCACATTACTTCGTGTTTTTTTTTGAAAGGCTAGTTACATAAAACATTTTATCCATTCCAAACTTGTCCTTTCATTTTGAAATACAGGGTGTTTCAATAAAAAGGAAACCCAACTTTGAAGAACCAGTATGGACAGACTACAAATGTTTACTGGCTATAAAACTGGTATCATCTAAAAGCGTAATCTTTATGATTTTCAATGAAAACTTGTTTACATTTTCAGGGTCATGCATCACTGAGCGCCATTGTCATGAGATTTCGATGCAAAATTGCAGTTGGTTCACTTTCATGTCAAACACAATAGGCAGCTAGTGTGCATGAGAATAAGTATTCAAAAGGAAGACACGAGTTCATAGCTAGAAACCGAAAAAAAAAACAAGTCAGGTTTGTTTGAAAACTGGATTTCATTATTTATCATGAATTTCTCGGTTTCAAACATAATCAAAAACTTTTCAAGTAAAAAAAAACAAAAACAAATTGAAACACTATGCCCTTGAACATTCAAGACAAAGAACACAAGATCTGAAAAAAAATAAATACTATGAAGGCACGGATTTTTTTTTCTTGACTGACTTTTCCCTTCACGCTTTACGTCGTTCCACGTGTCCACCTCCTCTCTCCAAGCAAAGCTCACACCTTCTCTGCACGGCATTAACTGTTCGCCTTACAGCAGCAGGATCCTCCTTGAAAAGAATCCACCTCCAGGTTAATTATGTCTCTCAGATCTTGAATGCTCTGCAGTGGGCTGACGAACATCTTACTCTTCAGATGACACACCAAAGGTCCTTGTGAGGTCTGGTGAGCGGGGAGGCCATTCAACTGGGTGATTCACAGCAATCACTCGCTCATGAAAGAGTTCGTGCAAACGATTTCGAACATAACATTTGACACAACCTGAAAATTGGCGTGAACCGTGGAAAAAATACATTTAATATGATTTAAATGAAATAGGCCTAAGCGTTTCAATTACGAGCAATTCATTCCGAATTTTAGTCTCTTTTGACACTCTTTGTTAAGATGATAACTCAAGAAAAACATATTGCATTGGTTTGACATTGCGAATGACTATTAACCATAACATTTGACACAACACGTTTGAAAATTGATGTGAACCGTGGAAGAATACATTTAATATAATTAAAGGAAAGAAGTGCTAAGAATTACGAAAAATTCATTTCTACAAGAGGGCGCCCTACACAACCGCTGGTCAGCACCGTAAACACTATTAAACAAAAATACAACACTCTAAGTTTGTTGAGACGATAACTCAAGCACAACATATCACATTGGATTGAAATTGCGAACGATTATTTACCATAACATTTGTCACAACCCGTTTGAAAATTGACGTGAACCGTGCAAGAATACATTTAATATGATTTAAAGAAAACCGAACCCCTTCTCAAGTTTTCAGCCCCATTTTGTTATGGTCAAGGAACTGCTCCCGAAATATTTGAGTACGTAGCTGCAATCTAGAATACATTAGTCAATTTTGTTGAGGTCTAGTGCCGAGATCCTGATACGTCCAAAGCACTCAAACATTGCTGTTAGACGGCTTGTAAAATCAGTCTTCGTAGAAAATAAATAACTTTTGTGTGAAAAGATTTACACGTGAATTTGTGCGTTCAGTACAGCATTGCCCTGTTCCAATCAGACCTAGGCCTATTATAAAGCGTACTTTAAATACAGCGTGTCCCAACAAACATTGTGCATGGAGAAGTCTCTGATTTGCTCAATAGATTTGTTTATAGTTGTTGCGAATTTCAAGAAAAGTCATTGATGTAAACCAGAGATATCGTTTATTTTGTAAGGCTATGCTATTTAGTCCTGCACAATTAGAATCGTGTTGTTAAGGGAGAATTTGTGAGCGGGCAAGTTGGTCCGGGAGCAAGTTGGCTAGGAGCGACATTGCTAGGGGAAAAGTTGACGAGGAGATTGAGTTGGTGGGGGCAAGTTACCCGTGGGAGTGAATATGCACTATGCAGTGAACAAGCCACGTTATGAAAATGTATCTCGTTAATGGTAAATGCATGGCAGTATAACATCCTGACTTCAATAGTTATCTCTTTATCGCCCAATTATATCCATCACCCTTTTCAGCTACTTCATTCAGAGTGCCGAAATGTTTGAGGAATTCAAGTATTTCAAAATTATGGTTACCTACATTACGGGTTAATAATAGATATTAGAATCACTTAATATTTATAAAATGTTTCATTGTTTTGCTAGATTGGTTGAGTATCATTGTCTGACGTCTGACTTCAATCACAAAGATGCAGCGAGACAGACTTGGTCAGCGGGGTGGAGCTAGGATCACGGCCGAGGAGTACAACCACTCACTCAGCAAACTCGTCAGCACGAAGAGGAGGGTTAAGCCAAGTCGTAAGGCGGCATTCATGGCCGCCTTTCCAGTCAAAGCCTCGCCAAGACTCCATCCTGATGAAGAGGGAGCATCCGTCCTGCCACTGAAAGAGGCGTCAATAACTGACTCAGGACACAGCACAACTCCGAACACAAACGAAACAACCAGCAATCCTGAAGTGAATAGGTATAACGAAGAAATTGCTCTCGACATCTCAATGGACCAAATTTTCCCGAAATCCCCATCATATATCAGGCCTGCGGGATTGTAGTTTTCTTATTTCTTTGTCGTACCAACAGTTGTGGTTTTCAGCTTGATATAGAGCATAAACCAACCAAACATTCTTAACTGCAATGTTCATCAATCCATTATTAATAAAAAGGTCTTCGCTTCTTCATTTATATCTTCATTTCAAAATGTGTTTGGTTTACCAGTTCCAAACAGTTTCAATCCGTGTATAAACCAACTGCAAGTTTAAATGCACTAAAAAAAAAAAAAAAAAAAACACACACACCCACACACACAAACAAACAAACACACCCATTCTGGAATTTGTATTCCTGTGGAGACATTTCTTTGTTCTCGTGTAGTAAAGTTTTCGAGTTTGAAATTAAAGTTTCAAAATGCTCTTATTTTAACCAGAATTAATTTCCTGGGCTGAAATTTGGACTAAATATCCCTTTTCTAAAACTCTTCCATTTGCGACGGATCAACCTACCTTGGAAATTCCTAGTTTTTGAGTAAAATCCATATATCTATTTCGTGAAATTCTTGTGGAGACGTATTCATCTATAGAAATGTTCTCCTGGAGACGTATACAATCTTTTGTTCCCTATTGTGTTCATGTCTCCGTAAGGTAGTAAATTCCAGCACATGGGTACTCGGATTATGTTGTTCAGAATTCTTGTGAATTAATCTTTATCCCTCAACCCCGTCCATGTCATGTCATACATGAATAAACAACCTTTGTTATTGGAGCCTTGGGAGGTGAATATCTGACATCGTTTCCTTTTACACAAAACGTGGAAGGAAAAATGGAATACCAACTAAAACAAAAGTTAGCTAAAAATACTTATTGTCTGAGTTTGGTTGCAGGAGGTTTTTATTGTGTTTCTAAATTGCAGGCCCGTTGGAGTGAGACATAAATTGCAGATTTTTGTCCAAGGTCTCCTCGTACCAAAGACATTATGCCTGCAGCTGGATCCAGAGACATCCGTATCAGCTTTAAAGGCACACATTCAAGCTGAGAGTGGTATCCAGCCCCAAGATCAACACCTTTACATCGGGAGAAACTTTCAGGTGCTGCTTCTTTTATTACACTGACAAGAAATATTAATCCATGTCACATTTTAAACTTTATTTTATCTGAGCGTACAATGCAAATTCTAGTTTAATTTCTTCGACTTGTTTAAAATTGCATTTTTCTAGTTGTAAACTGAGAAAAGAAGGCGTGATAAAAATGTAATGTATTTTCCTAGAGTGTATTTTTGCCCCTAACGTTTAATACGTAATAATTGTAACAGGAATTTGTAAAACAAAACAAGTATTGGTAAACTTCTTGCAAGAACTTGTAAAAGACCCCTCCCGTACAAAAAAAAAACCCATTTGGATATAATCATGTCAATCGAACGAGTAAGCAGGTTGCCACGTTCTTTTTTTCTCCAGAAATGTCTTAAAATTTCATTAAAATTATAATTGGTTTGCAGCTTTGTGACCTTCTCTCCATTCGCGACCATGGGATACAACAAGACCAGAACATCAAGCTTCGCACAGGCGGCTTGCTGGGCGGTGGACCATTAGGTAACTATATCAGGGCATGATGAGGGTGTCTCCAAATCATTTAAGAGAACTAGTGTACTTTTAGTGGTGCGGCATAGTCCCAATATGCTAAAGGATTGTGCAAGTTGTGATAAAAACCTGAAACTTTGCATGTTGGTTCTTAATGCCATAAATTATTTTTTTCAGATATAGAGGCATTTCATATTTGACCTCTGGTGACCTTCAGAGGTCAATGAACTTTTCATACTTTTCATACCCTATTCATACTGTTTGTTCACCAAAGTGTATGTCATAGGTCTTCGTACAATGGAAATAATGATCAGATGTGGGAACAATTCATATCTGACCTCTAGTAACCTATGAGAGGTCAATGACCTTTGTAAACCTGTTTATAGCCATTTGTAAGATTTATTCTTTTAACCCCACATTTTTTACACGTTTCATGTCTGAATGAAAGGTGTTCATGCTTTAAAGAGAATATTCATATATGGATCATTTCATATTCAACCTTTGGTGACTTTATGAGAGGTCATGACCTTTGTAAAACAATAGCCTTGATAAGATGAACACAATTGTAAATGCTACTTTTTCATGACCCATGTTTAAAGCTTGACTCTTTATGCCATGAAAAGGATTGTCAAATGTGGGGACATCATATTTGGCGTAGTGATAACTTTGAAGAGGTCAATGAACTTTGTATATCTTAGTAACCGTTATTTATAATTTTTATTCGTCAAAACGCCATGATTTTGTGACCCAATCCTCAACAGTGCCAAAGAATGGTATTGCACCTATAAGTATACAATCATGTTATGAATTCAGATCCCAAAACAATTTCGAGGTGACCTCTGACCTCGTTTCTCCTTGTTTTATTGGCGGACGCAATATAATGAGATTGGAATAGAAATCTGTGGGTATGTTTTGTAATGGACAATGTATTTATAAGCAATATTCACTCTTGCGTACATATTTCACCCTGCTGTATCCAGATGGACTTGAATAGCCACCTTTTTAACCTGTTTACCAAGCCCAATGGTCCCCCAATGGATAGAGAGTGATGCTTGTCCGATGGTTACCGCTTATATTCCTTTGCGTTTGCGTCTCCCCTTATAAAAAGGAAAATTAAGATCAAAGGTCATGCAAAAAAAAAATATATATTTGGGGTCTGACTTCATGACATGTTGTAGAATAAATGTTAAAAATTACTTCCTTTTGCTCTGAATAGACTTCAGTCATGAAAAAAATGGCATTTGGAATATTAAACATGATGAATAACGGCAATCAGAGTACACAAAGTTTATTGACCTCGCAAAAGTCCTTTAGAGGTCAAATATGAAAGAATATATATATATATCATGGCAAGAATACCCATAATATAGATATGGGAAAAAAGTGGTGTTTTAAACAGTAAATCCTCTTATTATCTATAAATAGGAAACGCAAAGCTCATTGACCCCTTGAAGGCCATCAGAGGTCAGATATGAGATTCCCTACATATGAAATTCTTTTCAAAGCATGAGGAACCTAACTTCATGACTTGGGCCTTGAAAAATTGGGGTTTAAAGGGTTTTTGCATTTGGTCGTTATTTACATTGTATTAAGACTGTACATAGACGCAGGCCTTAGGAAAGTAATGTTTTCAAGAACAATAGATATAAATTGAATATTCAAAGGTCATCAGGGGTTAGATATGAAATGTCTCCATATCTTATTTTTTTGTCATGGTATGAAGACCTCAAATGCTAAGTTTCGTGCTTTTATCACAAAATGCACAATTCTGTCCCTATGCCGCACCACTATTTAATTTATATGCCTAAAAAAGGGCATTATATCCATTAAAATGATGAGCACCAGACTACATTTTACATGTGTATTTGCTGTAAGTCCAACTAATGTTTTGATCAGGCAGTCAATACGATGAGACTCTGATCTTGTTTAACTTCGCCGCTGAGTTAATAGTTGCTAACATTTGTTTGAAGCCTCTAGAGCGTGCCAGCCTGAGATGATTGATACAAACTGTGTTATATGACTATGCATTCCAGGAGAATACTTCTCCAAGTTATCACACAAGCTTGGACACTCATGGAAGCCGCTCGCCCGAAAATTGAGTTTCGATGAAGGAGAAATCTTCGCCTTCCAAGACAACGACAGGGGAAACTTACATGAACAAATCTTCCAGATGTTAGATGCTTGGTTGAAGAAGCAGGACATCCCCGCAGACGCCCCTGAAAAGCTGAGAGTCGCTCTGAAAGCTGTGGGCCGTGCTGACTTGGCATCACAAGTACAAGGTATAAAAGCTTATCAAAAAAGGTGAATGTACTCTTTCTTGGACAAGTTTTAGCTTTGTTAGGCTACTGCAAGTTCATGCCTCTTTTGTGATTGCAATATCAACTCACGGACACTCAATTCTCTGGATGTTTAATGTTGTGCATACCTTCTCTTCATAATGTTGCAACTGCTGACAAAAAAAACAGAACACACACGAAATGTAAGGGACCCATGCCATGAATTTGGAATGGACAAACAAAATTCAGTCAGCTTAACTATGAGTCCAACTACCATTATTACTATTCATCTACTTATTTTTGGTCACTCCCCACCCAACGGTCACACACCGAACTATGGACTACCCCCGGTTCCCGGATCCAATGCGGCCGATGAGTCTGAAATAAGACCATAACGCATTCCCGCCCACCCAAAGGAATTGACCTAATTTCCTAATGTCCAAACAATCCTTCCCATCCACGGATCAACAAACTATATTAGTCACCAAAACTTACAATTTATTTCCAACAAAACACTGATTGGAAATGAACCAATACGGAAACATTCAACCCGTGTACACACATATTTACGGGTATTGTCAGTCTATAAGAAAGAGCGTATCTGAATGGGATTCAGCCACCATTTTTCTTATCCCTGTTAGATACCTGGTGGAAGAAGCAGGACAACCCCGCAGACACAACTGAGAAGATGAGTGACGCTCTGAGAGAGGCGGGCCGAGCTGACTTGGCACCGCAAGTACAAGGTAAAAGCTAATCAACCGAAAAGGGCAATGCACCCTTTCTTCAAGTTTAGTTACTATACATCACTCTTTCACCTTTGAAGTCAACCTTGAGTAATACAGTAATGGATAACCTATCAAAAGCTTTGTTAGACTACTTACAGGTCATACTTATTTTGTGAAAAAAATTCAACTCAACGAAACTGAATTATCCAGGTAAGGGCTGCGGTGCATAATTTCTCTTCATAAAGTTGCAACTGCCGACAGACGATACAAATCACCCACCAGATTTAAGGGGCCCATGCCATGAATTTTACGGGAACACATTTTGTGTAACATTCTACTTCTCCTAAATGTACGATACTACTTGAGATCCCTTTTGCGGTCAATTTAATTAAAGTGCACTTCTTCCTGTGATGTAATTTAAGAGAAGATTGCTCATTCCCTTACTGTTATTTAATGAAACAATAATGAATCACAAAAAAAGATGGGAAAAGAAAAACAAAAGAAGAAAATTTACGACTTTTGGTGCTGAAATAGCTGTAACATCGAGTTTTTTCCCTGAAGTGACATTACGCTTTTGCTGATGAATACAAACATTCGCATTTAGCAAAAAAACAAAAACAAACAAACAAACAAGAAGGAACCAAATAGCCTGAAAATGGCCGAATACATGTATTAAACAAAATCAGGCTAAATGGGACACAATGAGCCTTGTGAAGGATTGCATTAAAGATATATTACTTGGCCTTTAAGGCAAAGTATAAATTATACCGTATGTCAACAACCTTTTGACTTTCATAGTAATGTGCGTACTAGGAAAATTCAGGGGCCGATTTTGGTGCGTTGCTAAACTAGTTAGTAGGAAAAAATGCGCTAAAGATGTTAGCGCATTAGTGCGCATCGTATGAAGTGCCGTATCAAATGGTTACGGTGTTCGGCTGTCGTGCCGTGGTACGTGGGTTCGAAACCTGACGAGGACCACGGTGCTTGTGTTTTGTGTAAGACACTTGTGGGAGCTTTCCTCCCAGAAGCATAAATGGGTACATGTGAAGGGTGCATACCTATGTTCCCTAATACCTATGTTCCTCAACCTTAACCCTAATTATAGCCCTAACCCTTACCCTAACCCTAACCCTAAGGATTTTGGGGAACAAAACGGTTTTTTGGGGAACATATAGGCACTGGGGAACTTGGGTATTGGGAAACATCGGGTAAATCCCCCTGTGGAGGTGTAGACCAGAATGTGCTGATCTCGAGCTTCTGCAAAAACTGATACCATGGTCTAATGAACAGGGGTAATAACGTGAAGTGCTTTGAGAATTTTGGTATAAAGCGCTACATAAGCTCCACATTATTATTGTTCTTATTAAGTAATTTTCATGGAGTAAATTTGACTACGATTCTAAGCACATGGAGGTTCGCATTTGTGTAACGTCACTGATCTAAGCATTTTCATTCTGAGGTTAGCATACCTTGTTTGCTGTAATTACTGCTTACAGTCTGTGGTAATGATGGAGGTTGTCTTTTTTAGCGTGTCTTTTAGTAATGCAAAGGAATTGGGCCCGTATTTTAAAAACTTACAGATCAATGTCTTTAGATATACGCTGATAGGTTATTTGATTGTTCCCCCAAATGACTTTGTTTTCTGCACAGATACTGCAGGGACTTATTTTGATGTTGAAGAGTGTGCAAGAGAACTAGCAGCGCATTACCTAGGGACGATGAAAGTGACGACACATCCCAAAGAGAAGCACATGGCTAGAGACATAGATGACATCTGCATCAACCTTCAGCTACTGCAAGAGACGAACGTGCCATCTCCTGTCTCCTCATCGGAGGCACATTTGCAGGCGGAAACTGGCAGTCAAGCGGAGTATCCGAAAGCTTCGATAAGAAGTACTCATGTTCCACCCAAATCACAACCTGATATGGACAAGGGTTTTCATTTTCAGAAAATTCCCCTTGATTCGTATACAGACATGCTTAAGCTCAAATCAAATCGAGTATTATCAAAGCTGAGGCGGGTTACGGAAAAACCACACTCCTTAAAAGGATTGCATACGATTGGGCTGATATGAAAACGGGGGATCAAACTGAAAACCAAGAACATCCTGAGCCCACATCGGTTCTGGGAAGGTACAAGCTTGTCTTTGTGGTCGAGGTCAATCAAATGGGTGAGAAATTTGACATCGTCGACGCCATTTTCTCTCAACTTCTCAACGACAGGAAACTGAAGGAGAAATTTAAAGACTTAGAAAAATACATACATGAGAACCCACACCGCGTATTAATTCTTTTGGATGGCGCAGATGAGGTTTCTCTGCAAAGAGTAAAGGATGCACAATGCAAGAACGGAATTGACTTGAACGATGTACTATCGTTCAAGTCACTCAAGTCGTGCAAGGTCGTAGTCACAAGCCGACAGAAGACGGCAAGTGAGTTGCTGAATATGCATGCACACTACACAAGAATTATCTCGGAAGGTTTTGACGAGAAAGACAGGGAAAAATACGTGAGGAAATACTTGGCAAATTTTGAACCAAATAATCAAAACAGCTTTCTTGAAAAGGTGAATGGATCTGAAACGCTTCGTAGTTTGGCGAGGATACCGTTATTTCTGTGGCTGTTGTGCGACACATGGGCATATAATCGGGAACTGCCTAATCAAATAACAAGCCTTTTTGGGGACAACATGCAGCTGCTTTTCCAGCATAAGGCCATTAAGAAAACAGACAAACAATTTTCTGACACCGAGACACATGTTTCCCAACTGGGTCGGGAAGCTCTTAAAGGTTTGTTAGACCCAAATGGGGAGAAACTTCATTTCATGAAAGATGAAATTGATCCGAAGGACCTAGAAATGTTTGAGGCTAGTAATGATGTTGGGTTGTTGTCCTTTCAAAGTCTTAGAACAGGATCTTACTTTTCGTTCCTGCACAAGACTTTCCAAGAGTATAGTGCGGCGGTATATCTGGTAGATTTGTTTGAGACCGACAGAAAAGCCTTTGACCGATACTTGTCTCGAATATTCCAAGGTGATGTGGAAAGCTTGGAATACGTTTTGCGGTTTTTGCTGTGGGCTGAAAACAAATGCCGCCCAGGAGATTCTGAGATTAATGGCAGAACTCTTGAAGCAAAATAAACTGAACAAGTCCTTGCATAGAATTTCGATGTTACTCCTATCTGAAGCTCAGTCAGAATCTCTCATCAAGGAATTTCTTGAGACTGTAAAGATTGAGTTTCCATATGAACTCCAAGGTGAAGTTCTCGTGGCTGTGCATTATTTCTTTCAAGTCGGGTCCCAACATACAACTCTGCACAAAGAAGACATACAAGAAATTAACGCTATATGTCGAGGTCTTGCTGACTTGAGACTTTTAGAGGACATAATGACACACATACAATGTAAGCTATCGCTAAACCTTGTACTTGTAGCATCACTGGGATAAGTTTGTGGATAACTCAACGGGATTTGAAATATCTCAAGTCTTTTTGAGGTACACAACTGCGACTGGAACCTTGTGAAACTTTTCAACGTGTTATAAAAACCAATACACAAAGAGTTGAAATTGGTGGCATCAATTTGCATGATACATTATCTGCACAAAACATGAAACAACTACCATCGCTGAAAGATTTAGTCTCCCTGAGTGTGGTCTAACAAACAGTGATATTGAACCAATTTTTTTTCTCTCTCTTTCATCAGCAGGCAGCATAAAGAAACTTGTTCTCCAAGGAATGATTACACAGTTTGCAGCCAGTCAGAATCGCTAGTGTCCCTTCCCTTGAAGAATTACATCTACGTGACAGTAGTCTGACAAAGAGTGATATTGAGTCAGTTTTTTCTCTTCTTTCATCAGCAAGCAGCATAAAGGACTTGTTTTTGCGTGAAAACTTTGCACGGTTTGCAGCCTTTCACATCGCTAGTGTCCCTTCCCTTGAGGAATGCACCTGTATGAAAGATCTCACAGAAGTGGCATTGAGCCCCTTTTCTCTCTTCTTCATCAGCAGGTACATAGAAATGTGTTCTGCTTGGAACAATTTGCACGTTTTGCAGCCTGTCACGATCGCGAGTGTCCCTTCCCTTGAGGAA